AGCAATTATGGATTCATTTGAATTGTACTACTAATTGGAACACATTATTATTATTGAAAAAGTAGATAAAGTTATTTTGCTTTAACCACATAGTTTTAAACAAGGATTTATTTACTCTGAATATTTGAAGGTAATATCATACCAAATATTTCTTACACAAATCTGTTCAATAGATGCTTTTGAACTAGATTGTTAAACTGCTTTAGAATACAACTCAGAAATTAAAATTGAAATTCTTAGATATTAATTTTTGCCAAATGCAAGTTTGCAGTAGATTAACTTTGAGGAGGCAATTTTCTTTTTGCAAATGTTTTATAAAAGAGAAACATTAATGTCAATTCCTTTGATCCATGTGAAAATTACATTAGAAAATTTATTTTGTGTGTATTTATAGATGTTATTACCACTAATGTGAATCTAAACTTGTAAGTGGAAGAAAAACTATGCATGAGACAACTTCGAAGCTTAGTGTAGTGGTTTTGTTATATGTGTAACAATTTTTACCTACATTTCAGTTGAAATCATCATGAACTATAGACCAACAGAAAAATGCCAGACAAGGTCAAGTGAAGGACATCAGAAGCTGAACAATATGGAACTAAGACTCTTTACTCCGTGGAGTGAAACTGCAAGACCATTTTAAGATGCACTTAAAGTTTATGTTATGGTGTGTTTTATCCAAAGAAAGAGCATCTTTAAAAAAAGAAATATTTGACATAGGGGAGATGACACCTCAGTGGGGTGTTACCTTGCTTTTGTACATGTGATCCACTACGTGCCTTTGCCATCCACATGGCTTTCAGCCCTCTTGTAGACACAGTATAGCACCAAATACCATCATGATGAGAGAGTGACATCCAGAACCTCTACCTGGACTACAACCAGTGCTGGTACTGTACAGGTACCTCCATCCTTCAAGATTAGTTGTCCATAAGTAATCACAGAGCAGCAATGTCCCAGAATCCTTTGGTTTTCCTCACTCTGAAGTTGGCCAGAAATACCACATATTTGCTAAAATTTCTATGGTACCTGGAATGCACTCCTGAGTCCTCCAACTCCTTCTAAGAGGAATTGTCTTGTGGAAAACAATTTTCTGTCATACTCAGGAGTATTTTCAAGTACTTACTTCTGATCATTTTAAAACTTTTTTTTTTTAAGTAAGTAAAGATGTGTGTTCAAAACTGAAACAGAAGCTCTTCTAGAGGCAATTGAGAATGCTGGTCTCTATGTTCCTTAAAGGAATAAAAAATATGTTTGATAACTCAAAAGAATAAATGTTTATATTCCAGATTTTCTCATAGTTGATTAAATAAAATGTATTTACAGCAACAGTAAGGCAAATCCTCAACATTGTTTAGACACTGACAGATAAACTAGTATAAGTTCAATGACCTCTTTATCAAGCCACAAAATCCTATGTATTAGTTCACCAAGGAATTTGTAATATTAAGGTTTGCTATCACATAGGCAAAAACATCGGTCTCTTAGGTAACAATTAAAATGATTAGGAATTTTGATAATAAACTTAAGAAATTTAACCATATTCTCCTTACAGAATGCCTCAGAATGTTGACCTTTTTTCTTGATTTTACACTTTATAGGAAACTCACTGAATGGCAGGTATGCCACTAGCATGTAGGTAATTCTTAGAAGATTTCAGTCTCAAATAAAAACACATATTTCTACATGGTGACATTCCCATGGCACATACTTGGGCACATGAAAGAGTAGGCCACTCTTTGTTTCTTGTTGATCCCCTGGCACAGAAAGCAGACACAGGCAAGGGTTCTTCCCGCCTGTGAGCTCCAGGGCCCCATGGTCAGCCCATGACACCGAGATAGTGAGCAGAGTAACCATGGCAACGGGCAAACAGCAACACAATTTGGGTTTGGATTTGGTTTTATATTAAAGGGAACAGGCTTCTTCTGGTTTTAATAATTCAGAAATACAAATCACAATACATTAACCCAGAATCTTCCTATAAAGAATCAAAAGAAGCCACAGTTCTCCAATCCACCCTTTGCTCCACAAGCATTATGGAAACAAAGAGGAAAAATTAGAAATCAGAGAATGTGAGAAAGAACACAGACACGATTTGAATGGCGTCAAAACCTTCCTAAACATCACTGAGATTGTTTTTCTCCATTAGGATGACTGACTGAAATCCTTACCTCTAAGGTCTCAAAAAAAAAAAAAAAAAAAAAAAAAAATCTCACAAAGAATCAAGACCTACATGTTTTTTTGGCTTCCACAATTTTTCTAGAACAGCAAGGGTATGAACATGTGTGTATGTGTATGTGTATGTGTATGTGTATGTGTGGGTCTTATTACATTTATAAACACTGATATAGAACAATGCTCATCATTGGTAATGGTCTTTGGTGTCAAATCATGCAGTATCACAGGCAGGTACAAGTTAAAGATCATTGCAAGATGGGCAGGGCAAGGTAAACACACTGATAGATGGGGGATTTTGTTTCTATTAGGATATACTGGCCATTGGTCCCACATAATTAAAAGTCAAATATACAGAAGTCCAGGTATAAACAGAGGTGTTCTATCTTAGTTTGTTCAAAGAACTAAGTGTCAAAAACAAAAACAAAACAAAACAAAACAAAAAAAACCCAAGCATTTAATCACAAGAAAAATAATTGATTTAACTATTTACATTGTGACTGTTTTTTGTTTGTTTGTTTTTATATGAATATTATCTCTTGGTTTAGTGATATTTGTGAACATTTTGGGCTTTTATAATTAAAATGAATGTGGAGGATTGAAGGCAAGTAGGGTTTCTCCTCAGCCCCAGAAGCTGATAAGAAAAATTCCTAGGGCAATTTTGATCCTCTGACTGAGCTGCAGAAGGCATTTTTTTAGCAAAGCTAATTGACAACATTTTTTACAGAGCACAGTGCTTTTAAGATGCAGACTGTCATATGCTAACAGAATTAAATAGAAATATCATTTGTATAATCTAGTTCTACAATGAATATTTAAAACCTTACAAATCAGCTTTATTATACTTTTCCAGACTGATCATAAAAAGAGTTATATATTCCTGTCTATTCCACTCATTCTGTTTGTCAAGACCAATTTTCTAATGTGCCACTCCATAGTCATCATTATCTTTAGATAATCTTTTTATGATAATGATAAAAGTTTCAGGAAAACTATCCAACTTCTCTTCTGTGCATGAATCATCCTCCTCCCATGGTGGGAACTGACCTGACCCTGGGCCAACTGGGTGCTACATCCTAAAAAACTCAGATATTATATCTGCGAAGATGAAATATTATTTTCAGTTTTTATTCCACAAAAAGAAATTCTGTTGTAAGGCCAATCTATCCTTTTTTTTTTTTTTTTTTTTTTTTGGAGTGTCAGGGATCAAACTCAGGACCTTGAGCTTGCTAGGCAGGGGCTCCTACTGCTGAGCTATAACCCTGGCCCTAATGTATCCCTTTGTAAAAATGAACACACTGGTCCACACAACACATATAAAAATAGCAAAGACATATCTACACTGATGTTGGTTTTGCCACATTCTTACAACAATTGAATTGTTCCTGCACAGGTATACACATCCTTCTCTTCTAGGATCACTACAGAACATTTTAGGAAGGGTCACGGCGAAGCCAGCTCCTTCACAGCTGAGGAGACAGAGAGCTAACTCATACTCCAAGGTGATCCCCCAGCCGAGGGAGATCCTTCCCTTTTTTCAGCCTGGAATTGTATAGTTCTTGACTGGTATACTCAGAAAATAAATGACCAGGTCTGCAGACACAAGAGACAGCCTGACTATCAGATGCTTCTAAGGTGCTGCAAAGATTTCCTCCTCCCTTTTGCTGTCCTTGTGAAGCTCATGAAATGCCCCTTCGACAGGCTCCTTTCAAGCTGTGCCTGACCTCTGCCCACAGGTCTGTGTGGTGTAAAGCAGAGGTGTGGAGATGCCACAGGTATGTCAAGAGCAGAGTTCAGAGAAAAGAACAACAATAATACAGAAAAAGGAAGTTCAAACAACCCAGATTATGACCCAAGGAAAAGTGAGAAGACATGTGCATGAGGAGGCATTTTTAAAAAGTCTACAATATTCATCAAAAAGAATGGTAGCAAATAGAGAGTGGGATATTTTTATTCCAGCGGACAAGCTGCACAATCTGACGTCTCTGCATTTTAAACAAGTTACGTCTTGCAAGGAAGCCTACCTTGGGAAGCAATACCTTCACAGGGGCTGCTCAGTGGTGGTGGGAGCGGGTGCAGTTCTATTGCTTCAAAAGAGAGAGAGCATCCCTTCTGCTAGATTTAAGGCAGTTTTTAGAGTACTGGTGTTCTTCTTTGCTCTGTTTCTGAGAGGCTCCCCTGTGCCAGTCGTATCCCATTCACCAACCATCCCTTCCATGGGTTTCACTTCTTCCTCAGGTGAAATACTACTGTACTGGTGAGCACCCGAGTGGCCAGCGTGCAAATAACAGCGGTGGACACTTCACCGAAGTGAATTCGAAGCAAGCCCAGCCTGGTGCCGCTATTGCTGAGAAGTCCCACTGGGGTGGCCCTGTCAGATAACCTGCATGTTTCACAGTCCACCGGAAGTGTCAGGGGGAAAGTATATTCATTGGACTTATGTTAAAAGTCAGGTGATTTCACTAAACATTGACATTAATGCTTCATGGCTTTAAGACAGATTCATATTGCTAATGGAATTTCGTAGCAGTAACTTACAGGGAGAGTTATTGCTCTCAAATCTACTGTAGTACACAGTTCAGACTATCAGCCCTTCTTATATTGTTCAAATTCATGAAAATAGACAAGTAAACATGAAACAGTCCTATTAAGGGGTCAGGGCACCTCCTGAGGAACAACGATGTCTTTGGAGATGTTTTATGCCAACTTGTGGCTCACCCTGTGTTTGGGGGGCTTTACTTAAATTAATTAGTTTTATTTTATTCCAGAAAAGGAAAGCAGTGTTTCTTCTCAGAATAAAACCTTGACAGGGCAGGAGCCCGAGAAGCAGCCCACCTAGGAAAATACAGCCCACTATCTGAATCACTGAACGAACTCCCATGCTAAGGATTTTCCCTGTCAATTGTGGACCCAGTGACCCCACGTCATCTGCATTCTCTCCAGTAGCCTCTTGCTGTGACATGAAATTTAAAAATGACAAATGGGCTCTGTTCTCTGAAACACAGATGTCAGTGTCTCCAGGTCTCAGGGCAATCATCTCCTCTGCTCTTCGCCCATGCTGAAACACCGCTGTCTGTCCCCACTACCTGTTCACCATCAGCTACTATTCATGCCTGTATCCTACAGTCTGTACCATTTGGTGCCTGAAAGCTACCCCACCCCCATACACTGTACATAAGCATCACATATGTTCTTTCTACAAATTGTTGTACAGATGCCATTTAATCAGTTCAAATTTGGAAGCTACATCTTCAAGGTCTGAGAGCTCATCCCCCCCATGTTTCCCCCTTTACATGTTTTCTTATAAGACATACAGCTTAATCAATTAACAAACTAAACAGCTTATATACTGGCAATATATTACAGATGGGTTTATGTCAGAGTAATAGATCATGTGAAATGGACCATGTGGTACCCCAGTGCATGATGTCTTGGGAGAGCCCTGAGGACACTGACAGGAGCATCTCTAAGTAGAGCTGCCTGAATACAGACACATGCGGATCTGTATCTACATCCATCTGACTAGGCCAAAGGAGCAGGTAGATGCGAGATAGAGACACACACATGCTGGATGGGACCACTGCACACCTTGTCATGCCATTTGGAAGGGCAGGTACAGTTTGCTGTTTCTGCAGCCATTTAAAATACACTTTATGGAAAAGGCTTCTCTAATTTGTGTTTGATTTGCTCTCTGTGGTAAGCATCATTGGAAGGAGACCAAAGCAAGAGCAACTAGAAGTTAAATATGTTTGAGCTGAGCTACGATACAGAACTTTGGAGAAGAAGCAGGCTAAAAGACTGGTTTCCATTGTAGGCTTGGATTCTCTCCCTTGGTGATTTCTCAATGTGTGTCTACGTGCATGTGCGTCTTTGTGTGCACGTCTGTGTGTGTGTGTGTGTGTGTGTGTGTGTGCGCGCGCACGCGTTTGTGTGTGTTCCATCCCCTCATCTCCTGAAGAATGCTGGGTTTCGCAAGCAGGCGGCTAGTCACCTGCAACAACCCAGGGGTCCCGCTGAGGCTTCCAAGCTGCTGTCAGTGTCGGACGCCAGGGTCTGGTCTGTGGACATGGAGGAGATGTCATTGACAGACGAAGATGGAGGGAGACTCTCGCTGCTGTTCACTGCTGCACCTGTGCTAAGAAAATGAAAACCAACATGACTAAATCTGGAACCAGACCCCACCGAGCACCATTCAGAGGTCTGGATGGGTGCGGACAAGAGGGAATTCATTCCACACACACAGTCGTAGGGTCATGGGTACGGGAACTGGGTCACATTGTGAAAATCAAGATGAAACACTGCAGGGTCCCTGGTTACAGGCTACTCACAGACTAGCATGGGGCTATCAGATCTCATCCTGTATTAGCAAAGCAGTATCTGCAATGCGGCTTCAACACACACACACACACAGCACCCCTAGCCCCAACCCCAGTTCCTCCATTTATTACAATATAATTACCCTTGTGTGATAGCCCGAGGCTTTTACATTTTTAAATAGCCATCCAGACTATAGAGAGAATGGGGAGCTGAAAGCACGGCATTATAGAGAAGATGAATAAACGAAGTCCCTTAATATGATAATCTGACCCTCTCTTTTTTAAGTACCACGTTTTGTTTTATTTTATTTCATTTTTATGAATTTAGGACAGGGTGTACAGGGCCTCATTGTGTAGGTGGGACTCATAGTGATTCTCCTGTTTTCAGCCTCCCAAGTGTTGGGATTACAGGCACATGCCACCTCGTCCAGTCTCAGTCGCCATCTCAGCGCACCCCGGGGTAGGGGCTGGCACAGCATGCTGGGAATGGAACCCCAGCAGCTGCGCTCTGCCAAAGCAGGCGCTTTAGTCTGCTGAGCTATCTGGGTGGCCCGGACCCTGCTTGTTTTTACTGCTGGAAGTTTTTAGACAAATTCACATATGGGACTGACTCTAAACATAGATATGGATAAACATAGGAGAAATCTGAATTACTTGGACACTACAGCTCTAGAAAACGGGAGGTATATCATGCAAACATTATTAGTCAATAATAATATCAAGGGGACCGGGGAGATGGCTCAGTGGAATAAGCGCTTCCCTGGCAAGCGCAAGGACCTGAGTTCAATCCCTGGTTCCACCAAAAAAAAAAAAAAAATAATAATAATAATAATAATAATAATAATAATATCAAATTTAAAATTTACATTGAAAAGCAAAATAGGACTTTTGACAAAAGTTACAAAAATATAGATGTCAGAGCATAACTTTCAATTATGTGTTTGTGCTTCAGCAAGTTTGATTACTGGGCTCTCCAAATGACTGAATTATCAACTTAGATTAACTTAGAAAACTCTTTTATTTATTGGCTCTGTGGAAACATAACAATGGTGAAATTCTGAGAAGAAGCATATTCAGTTAAAAACTTGCTGAGTTACAACAGCTTGGAGAAGGAAAAGATGAACTAAAGGCACCGTAAAATGTAATTACACCCTGGCTCACTGGAATGGCCCATTCCCTTTTTCTGTGATCTTTATAGCTAGACAATATCAGTGATAAAATATGTCTTTGTGAAATAGCTTGCTGATGAAAATGTCTGCAGCATAATTACCTAGCAAGACATTAGGAACCCTCACTAAATTTGTATCAGATCTGAGAAAATACAGTATGCAAGGTTGATTCAGTAAAAAAGAAATTAAGTCCAAGATAACAATCGTGTTATCACATAGTCCTAACAAACTAGTAAATAAAACTAAACAAGGAAGTGGAGGGGCCCACACATTCCTTGCGCCTGAAGTGGGCATTTCTTGCCCATGGAGCAAACATGATGGAAATTTAACCAAAACCAAGGAGATCTCGATGCTTAATCGAAGACACATCACAATGATGCTACCTGTATTAAGGTTTCCCTTGTTGATTATAAATCTATTTATTTAAGTAATGAGCAATTTGTAAAACTAAGATAATATGTCTTGATTCTCAAATTAATGCTTGAGACTATTACACTTGTGATATATTTTCTTCTCATCTTGGTACTAGGAAGTTTCTCTGGTTTTGATCATTTTATAGGTTTTCACTTGCATCCCAATATTCTCATATACAGAAAATCTTAGGCATCCTTCATGTTTTTATTCTCAATACCTCCTAAACATCTCCAGATAATTTTGTGCTGGAAATTATATTCAGGGCCCTTACATGGAATGACATCGTGACTTTTTTGTTTCTTATTTTGAGATAAGATCTCAAGATCTAAGCGACCCAGGCAAGGCTTGAATTTGAGAGCCTCCTGCCTCAGCATCGCAGAGTACTGAAATTGCAGGGCTATACCACCACCTCTAGCTCCAGAAGAGTTGTTGTTGTTTTTTTGTTTGTTTGTTTTTTGCAGAACCAGGGATTGAACTCAGACCCTTGTGCTTGCCAGGGAAGCACTTATTCAGAAGAGATTTTTAATGCCTCATTATATTGTATAAATAACTATTGTCATTATCAAAATAATATTAACCTATCTGGCTTCACCTTATTTCAACTTTACATAAGTATGTTCCATAGAGAAATGGTGCAGAGCTAGCTAGAAATGGTGCTGACTCCTGATGACAGATAACCTTTGGTCCCCATATACAGTGCAAGTTTCCCACTGGTTTCCCCAGCTATGGATTAAATTATACCAATATCTTTCAGATTATTTCACAAATTCTGAGATCTAATCATTTGGCATCATTAAAACAGGCTCCTTAGAATTCTCTTCAGTTTTTCCACGTCCTTATTAAAAGGTAAAGATTAAGCTTGGACGCAAGACCCTAATAAATGCCTGATGAATCACACTTCCCCAGAGGGAGGCTGCGCTTGTCTTACTGTGCATTTCTCCCCAGATGATATATTTTCTTATAAACAGCTTTCAAGTCAATATGTTGCAGCTCAGATTTGTTTCTAACTTGAGAACATGAAATCACGCTCATCCATCCTTTTTGTAACTGCCGTTTAAAGATGTGTCACATCCTATATACTTTATAAATTTAATTTGTAAAACTTGAGTTTTTTAGTATATTCAGAGTTGCAGAGCCATAACACCCCACAATCAACCTTGCAGTATGCTTATTACCCCCAAAAGGAATGAAGCTGGGTACTTCTTGCCTGTCCACCAGCCCCAGCGAGGCTCAGCAACATTTTGTCTCTAGAATCTGCCAAACATGGGTATTTCATATTAGTGGAAGTGTACAAAATGAGATCCATCATGACTGGTTTCTCTCACAAAGCATAGCGTGCTTACGGTTCACCCATGCCATGACATGGATTTCATTCCTTTGTACAGAGGAAGAATAATCCATCATTTGGATGTATTGACTTTGGTTTACCTGTGGTATTAGTTGGAGAGCATTTGGTGAACACTTGGGCTATACTTTGTACCCACTCGGCACAACATTTTTATGAATTTTTATATATAAGGTTTGTATAGACATGTTTTCATTTCTCTTGTGTATATAACAAAGAATGGAATTGTTGGGTCACAGAATAATTCTATGGATAATTCTCCTCGAGTCCATTCAATTTGAGGAACTGCCAAACTGTTTTTGAAAGTGGGTGCACAAGATTACATCCTGATCAGAAGGTTTGAAACTGAAATTTCACCACTCTCATGCTTCTTACCACCTTTAAATTACTGTAGCCATTCCAGTGAGTGTGAAGTGGTGTCTCACCGTGGCTTGATTCAGGTTTGCCTGATAGCTAACAGTGTTGAGTGTCTCTTAAAGAGTTCACTGAATTTTGAATCTTCTTTCTAGAAAGGTTATTCCAAGTCTTTGGTCATTTTTAAGTAGGTAAGTTTTAAAAAAAAAAAAAAAACTGAATTGTAAAAGCACTTTGTATTTTTGTGATGTATCCCTTTAAGCTATAAGACTGGCCAGTGTTTTACTACCATGGATTGTCCTTTTGCTTCTTAAAGGTGTCTTTGAAGCACAAGCATTGAATTTTAATTATTCACTACACAGATCAGATTCATAGTGATCCTTCCTGTTTTTCAGCCTCCAAAGTGCTGGTATTATAGGTGTGCGCCACCACGCCCAGTCTTAATCTCTGTCTCAGCACATCCTAGGGGCAAGGCTGGCAAGTTAGGCTGGGGCTCAAACCCCTGGGCCCTGCACCTGCCTAAGCAGGTGCTTTAGTCCGCTGATCTATCTGGCCAGCCCTAGTTTTGATGGTGCCAAATTTATCTAATTGTTCTTTTGTCCATTGTGTTCCTCAGGTCACATTTAAGAAATCATTTCCTAACCCAAGATCCTGATGCTTGAATCCCATGTTTTCACCTGGGAATTTTATAATGCTAGTTCTTATACTGCAGTTTATGAGCCATTTTGAGCTCCTTCTTGCCTGGGGTGAGGTCCAACTTCATTCTTCTTCAAGTGGAAGAAGTTCAGCTTCCCCACTGTTTATTGAGAAGACTATTTTCCCTGTAAAGTCATCTTGACATAGTTATCAAAAATCAATTGGTAACAAAAATATAGATCTATTTTTGGACTCTCAATTCCATTCCATTGTTCTCAATCTGGATATCCTGGATAATGATGTCAAAAATTCCTGCTTTCTGACATAAGTAGCATGATATCTTGAATATGTGTCTTTGCTGTAACACTGGATATCAGTGGTGTGAAACCCCTAACTCTATCTCCTTCAAAATGTTTTTTAACTACTCCATGTGACTTCAGCTTTGGCCTGCATTTTGAGACAAGATTTCTGCAAAAAAGACAGTCAATATTTTTGTATTATATTTGATTTATAAGTCAGTTTGGGTGAGTATGGACATTTTCACCATATTGACTATTCCAAGTCATGAACAATGGAATACCTATCCATTTACTTAGGTCTTCTTTAACTTCATTAATTAACATTGATTAAACAGTGTTTTGTAATTTCCAGAGTACAAATTCTGCACTTCTGTTAAAGTTATTCCTAATGTTTTCTGTTTTTCCTGGTTTTTGACATAGTTGAAAATGGAATTGCTTTGGTTCATTGCTAGTAAATAGAATTATAACCAGATTATTTGAACAAGAAGTCTCATTGGCAGTGGGCTGAAAGTCAAATAGATCAAATGACACTACACTGTCTTGGCCAAGGCAAATCCTCATTTTTCTTATGTCCATCACCTGGTTCTCAGCAATCCT